GGGGGGGGGGGGGGGGGGGGGGTCAGTTTTGTTTTGCATGCCCTGCCGGCTTTTCTTCCTTCTGTGACTTCTTCTTTTTTTTACTCAAAATGAGGGGAGGACCCGGACCCCCCGATCCCCTCCCCTAGATCCGCCACTGTAGTCTGGCAATGTTTGATGCTTGAGGCTGACAAGTATGATGGCAACACAGGGAATATTGGCAAGAGTTGCTATTTCTTCTGAAAAACTTAAACTTAATTCGCAGTCGTTTTATCACTGTGTGCTAGTAGTTTCCACAAAGCCAAAGATGCCAGACTACAACCGTAATCAACGTGTCTAAATTAAACTGGTTTCCTAGAGTCAAACACCGCGAAGTACATGCACTCGATCGTTTTCTCGCGTTATTTGCAGATGATCAGTACCATTTTAATCTCTATTATAGTTCGTTCTTTTCAATCTGCACCTCTCGTGTTCTGCTGAGTGTTGGGCGCATTGTTTATCTGTTGTTTCGTGTAAAGAACCTGGTGAATGGTGCAGGTCGCGCCTTATGGCACCTTGGAGAGTGCTTTTGGATAATATTTTTAATGGTATTATTCCTGAGGACCTGGTGGCAAGCTCTTTAGCTACTCGTAATTGGCATTTCCGTAAATTCAGAAGTAAATGTTTGGCTGTTGATAATTCAGCACACAAAGAAAGTTATCACTTGGAAGGTATTTTTCTTTTGTATTGTAGAAGCGGCGTGGCCGAGTGACTTAGGGCGCTGGATTTGAAATCTGGAAGTCCCTGGTTCAAATCCCCCACCCTACCGCTATCTGGATTTGTTCCCGGTAGTCCCGGGTTCAACTCCCCTACCGGGTTGTGTAAACCGAGCCAACTCCCAGCTACCAACTGGGCCACCAGTTGGGAATCTTAATAGTTAATGTTTTTCTATTTGCAATATTTATTTATTTACAGTCTCCCCAATTAGCACACCAAATATAAATACATTTGATACTTAAATAAAGTTATTTATTATTTTATTTATGTCATGATAGTCACCCCCTTCCACTATAGTCGTCATTTGCTCATACATTTTTCATGATCATTTTTAACAGGTTGGGGATCTCTTCATGGCCATCATAACAATGATACCCCATGCAGTCAGCATGCTCCGCGGCACTCACTCGTGGGTGAACGACGCACCCTTTGGACAGATATCCTGCAAACTGTTCATGTTCGCACAAGGCTTCTCAATGGCTTGTTCCATATTCACTCTTACAGCATTGGCGTTTGAGCGCTTCTTCGCAGTCGCTTTCCCCATGTGGAAAGTCGTTACTAAAAGACGCACGAGGTGGCTGATAGCCTTGATATGGACAGCTTCCGTCGCCTACCCAGCGCCATTCTTCTACGCCGCGAAGGTTTACCTCTATGATGGCGTCCCCTTTTGTGTCGAAGATTGGGGCCCCGTATTTGACCCCAGACGATCCCAGGCGACCTTCACCATTGTTTCGTTCGTATTCCTGTACGCGGTTCCTTTACTGGTGATCTCTGTTTTGTACTCCATCATCATTGCAAAAGTTTGGGGAAGAGACATACCAGGTAATGCTACTCTGGCGAATCAACGGCTGCACGACAGGTCCAAGAAAAACGTACTGAAGATGTTGATCACTGTTGTCCTCGCCTTTGCACTGTGTTGGTTTCCGATGCATCTTAACATGTTGTTGATCGATTTTAGCAGCGTTTTCATCCCCTGTGGTATCCCCAGAGGACTTCAGCACACTGCCTTTTTGTTTGGACATGCAAACAGCGCCATCAACTGCTGCATATATGTGATTTTCAGCCAGGAATTCCGGCGGGGATTCAAAGAGATTCTACAGCCTTTGTTTCCTAAACGATCGGGCACGTTTTTGTTTGGCACCACCCGAGCCGGCGGAACAATGGAAGCTACAATCGACCTGCAAACCAGTTATAAAGGCCAGCCACAGGCTAGAGCCTTCAAAATCATAGACAATGCAAGTTGCTAGAAGGAGTGTGACAGACACTCTATTTATTATTGTGTAGAGGCCTGGATTTCAACATTAACGGAGCTCAGTCACGTTTTGCTCATATTGAAAAGTTTAGCCCCAGTTTTTCAAATTCTTCGTTTGTAATCCGTGCCAATCTTCTCCATCCTTAGCCATCCTTGTTCCTTTATGGTTTATCATCGTCTTTGGTGTTTTTTTTATTATTTTTTTATCTTATTAAACTGTTATTTTCGGGTTTCCTACCGTTTAAAGGTAATTTTGTATATTGCCAAAATAACTCAAAATACCGTGACTGAGCTCCTTTGACATCATGGGTTACAAATAACTCCTTAATTTTGGCGCGAACTTTCAGCATTAATGGTCATTAATTAACAATTTCACATGTGAAATAACAAAACCGCCATGGCAATGTTTGGCGCGAAATTTCTTGATACAATAAGCAGGTCAAAAGCTTACGATTGTGAGCGAAATTCGTCACCCACGATTTTAAAAGGTTATCAAATGGCATACGCATGAAATTAGGAAATAATTTCACTTACGTTTTGTCAAAATTCTTATAATTTACCGAGCCTTTGGGCGAGGGAAACTATTTCCTAATTTCACTCGTCACCATTTGATTAGCCATATACTTATTCCTGCTATGACAACTGTTAATCCTGTACATTGCGCGACGATCTAACTGTCGGAGTAACTGACAAAAATGATTCAAACTGTTAAATTGTCGCATGAAATTGATGGATATTCCGTGTTCTCTTTCATATAGCTAATACAAATCGCTTGGTGCATTTCCTTTTGCTTCCCGACGATGAAAAATTCCAATTCAAGAAAAAAAAAATCATAATTAACAGGTCAACACCACTATTCTGATTCTTTTCCTCAGAGACCGCGACCATTTTGGTTAGCACCAAGAATCGCTACTCTGTCCAGACCCAATTTTCTGAGCAAACGCAGAGTATTTTCAGCTAATTATATTTAACAGATTTCATGGGAAGTCAGTTAATCGAGGACGTCCAGTGTTGGACCTGCCCAGAACCAAAACGAGCACGACCTCTGGGGACCTGAATGCACTCTTCTAAGTGTAAGAGAAATCTGGCTCTGCTAAACTGCAATGCTTGTAAAATGGTCGTAAATGTTGTATACCGATAAATAGAATAGACCTAGTTAATGGGGCTTCGTCGTCATTGCCCTCTCGTAGGTCGTTAAACTAGGTTAAGTGGGAGAATAGCAATTGTTTTGGTCCATATTGGATGTCATGTACCCGCACTCTAAGCTCCCGTTTAGAATCTTCCGGGCTGTGAAACAATTTAAAATTCTTATTACAATGGGCTTTGAATCTTACTAGTCAGACTGGGTTATATTTTCACGTTAAATTGAAGCACAAATTAAAAGTACAATGCAGAATCACAGTAGATTTTACTGTGTGTGCTACTGGGTTGACAGGTCATTTCAAAATAGTGTAAGAAGGCTGTATGATCAACTCGAGGTTGGTTCTGTGCCACGCAGAAAATTCTAATCCTGCAAGAAACTAAATGACCAAGTAGTTCTCAGGTAAACGACTGATTGTACACTGAAGACACCCAGTAGACGTAGAAATTGGTAAAAATAGATACGTGTAGATAAAAACTGCATAATCGTGTTCAACGAATAAAAAAGATGTTATGGTTGCATAAAATTGTCATATTCGTTCCGTTTTCTGTTGTCTTCGAAGCGACCAGCCGTCACTTATAGTTACCTATATAAAAAAAACTCATTGACTACGTTTTTCTGGCAGGAGTTAAAAACCTTCAGTTTGAGATATCAACATTTTTCGATACTTTACTACCACCAAAAATGTCTCTAATATTGAAATCTGATGACAGGTTGTTTTCCTTACCTCATGAAATAAGACCTGTAGAGTATTAAAGTTTAGTATCTACAAGAGTCATGTCAATTATGAACACAAAAACTGACATTTAGCCACCTTTACTACGAAAACGCTCTGCTTATTAATGTATTATGCGGAAGAGTGGAAGAGTGCAGCCCGAGACATTCATGACGGAATACAGCATCTGTATTTTGCAATCTCCATCCAGGCTGACAAAACTTCAGATCAATAGAAAACCTCTTACCAGTTTTCAACAATGTTTAGGTTCCTTTTCTGGAGGAATAAAGTCGATTGAGTCCTTCGAGCCATATGCTTTAATTTTCAACTGCAGCACGCACCTTGTGGTTGCCACTGGTTTTTCTGTCATATTCTAACTTACAGTTTCTACCTGGCTTAGAATCTTGACATATTTCGGGCATATGTGTATCATTTTCTGTCACATTCCTTACGGAAAGTTTACCACTTACGTGACGATTCTTAGCAGATGTCAACCCATACATCGCATTGGTCATTTAGGAATCACGTGGGGTTAACGAGTTTACACACTGCCAGTGGTGAACATGACAGCACAGACAGGGAGACAGAGTCAGTAATATGTCCTAGGAGTGTCTAATTGCCAGTAAGAGCCCTTGGAAGATAACATGCAATCACAAGGGTCTTCACTTCCTCGGAGACCCAGGAGCAGTCAGTGGGGACTGTTGAAAGTCGAAACAAAAGGGAAAACTGTGGCCTTCTCTCCACGTTTTTCTTTGCCGACATTTTCCTGTCGTTTCGACTTTCCCTCACCCTTACAAACTACGCCTGGTCTTCAAGGATGGATTTTAACTGCGGCTGAACACTGATTGGTTACATTTGCTCGACTTGGTAGCTTTATTTCTCCTAGAAGAGGGACCTATGGTGCTGGAAACTGGTGCGGGTTGTCCATAGATGCTTTACTGGGGTCAAGATGAGATTGCTTTTGGAATTTAACAGACTGAACAAAATCCACGGAAGACTTATTCCTGCAGGGATTTAATATAAAAAACACACGTGTACAAAGAAGTCGTGAGAATTGTTCCCTCACTCAAACCATTGCTATATTTTTGCAGTCCATCTGATTGTTTACAATTTATTCAAACTTTTGTATTTTAAATTTTAAATTTAATCCAGACAGCATGACGTGTTTTCAAGCCGCATTATTTTCGATTATTTTCGACTCTCGCATGCGTTGTTTCATCTTTAGTCGAAGGCTTTTAGATGTGTGGAGCAGTTTAAAGTCTGGGGACTTGATCCAGAACCCTAGTAATTCTAAGGCCCCGTCGGCATTACGCCGAAGAAATTTGAAAACGCAGCCGTCCACACTAATCCGTCACGAAAACGGAGCTTTTCGAAAACGCTCTTCAAATCCGAGGAATTTGAAAACGCCGGCTTTGCGCCACTGTGGACGGCAAACATTTTGAAAACGGAGCTTTTTGAAAACGAGACATCACGATAACCTTGTGATTTCCCTGACCGAGTTTTCCTCAAACACAAATCCAAAATGACCGGTGATTGTTGCGTTTTCAAATTTCTCCGGCGTAGTGTGGACGGAAAACGTTTGACGCGTTTTCAGAGTGAAACGACGTTTTCAAATTTCTCCAGTGTATGGCGGACGGGGCCTATTTAGTACTGACTAATCAGAAAGGAAAACGAGCTTTCCGAAATTTATCCCGTCGACCCTGCTGCTACGAAGACACATCACGCCCAAGTATTTGTTTAAGACAACAAAAATTGCTTTTTCTGGCGTCATTTGTTAACGCCGTGCGAGGGTACGGCCTCTCTAACAAGAGTCGTGGCGTGTGGGACTGGTGCGAGACACAAGACAGTTGTAACAATTCTTTGAAAAATTGATGAGTTTGCTTTGAAATTTTCGTGCTCAATAATTGGCAAAAGTATTTGTAGAAGCAACATGTTGAAGACTACGAGTAGACCCTAACGCTTTGATGAACACAAAGCATCAGAAACAACACGCCAAGTTATACCGTCGGTTTACGACGTCTTACGTACGAAGTCAAGATCTGCGAAATCGGAAGATGGAGGTTCTCGTAGTCTACAAGGCTTTATAGTCCCAATATTACTGCAGGTTTGTGTTGAATATCTCCCGAATGGCAAACGTGATGGCAGCAAAACTCTGCTGGCTGTTTCACTGTTTTTAGAATTTGGTGTACATTCCTATTATAAGAAGTTCAATAAAAACAAAACAAAACAAAACAAAACAAAACAAAACAAAACAAAACAAAACAAAACAAAACAAAACAAAACAAAACAAAACAAAACAAAACAAAACAAAACAAAACAACCCAAAAAACGTATGATTCCCAGCAACCATGTGGCATGGCATGCCTGAAGTTGCTGCGAAGAGGGAGCTTAGGCAATGGTGACAGCGACGCCTAAGGCGACGACTAAATTAAAAATGAGTTTATATATTTTACCATCGAATTTGACGATTACGTAGATCTGTTCAGTACGCCGATCGGTCTAAAAACTTGCTCACAGAATATATATACAAAAAATTAGTCGTCGTGGCTCACATTTTCCAAAATACTCAAAACTTGGTTACTTTGCAGACGATGCCCAGGAAATGTAGAAAGATTTAATACGCATATGCACGCCATCGCTCTGCTAGTTAAACCTTTTGTTTGTTCAAGTTTTCGTTGCCAATGCCGGCGCGGTTTGCTTGAGCTCCCTAGTATACTGTCTTGCAATCCAGAACATTAAAACGGATGACGCCTGACTAGCCCGAAAGTAATTCTTAATAGCCCTACAAATATCACAATCAGCGTAAATGCTTAATTGCTCGAGTTTTCATACGATTACTCGCTTATTATATGACTGAGATAGTAACGAACGCGCGTGCAAATTAAAATAAACGATTAATTGACCTGCTCCCAGCCAATCACAATGAAGTAATTTTCTCGGTCATATAACAACAACCAAAGAACTTCACTTGCCATCGGGCTAGCTAGGGACAAAATCCGCCAACCTAAAGCTATCAGACACGAATTCCTTTGCACGCTTAATGGCCATAAAAAAGCGGCTGGGCGCATTAAATAAGCCAGCTTAAGTTTGTCTTAGCTATATCCCTGAAATTTATGAAACGATCGCTTACACCTTGGAAATATGAGGTCTATGTAACAAATATATGGTATAATGCTCAGAAACATACGAAGATGATAAAACAGCTCGTTTGGTTCAATTATCCTGACGTAGGACCCTTAAAGATATAAGCTCCGTTACCCAGCGACAGGGCCACCGCAAATACACGACATGATACTTCCAACGTGACTTGTTTACAATGTCCAATGATCCATTTCAAAAACCACTGCTATTAAACTCGTTTGCATGATCCTCTGGCAGAGGAAAGCCTTCTACGCAAAAACCCAGGAAAAATTACAACTCATCACTGATCCTTGCTTTCCATTGTGTCTTCCTGTAAACGGTAAAGTACAAACAAAAAATAAAAAAGGTCTTTTCCACTCAAAAAAGCACAATGTAGAAAAAAACTAGATACGAACTAAGAGTAGAATAGACCATGTTAATGAGATGGAAATTTCACTCTACTCAACACAACGGGGCATTTTTAATAGTAATTCTTTAGTTGTGATGATACATTGTTCGTGGCTAGTCTTACGCAACGCTTTCGTTTCGTCCCGGCCGAGGGACTCTTCAGAGACCTTTCTGCTTGGCAAACTCGTTGGGCATCGCGCCCAAAGTCCCGTTCGCTAACAAAACAGTGTAAGAGAACAATGTATTATCACAAGTAACTGCCAACTTCATTGTAAATTCTTTAGTTAGTGTTTTTAAACTGAGTTTGAGACGTAGCAGTTATACTTAGAATTCGGTTCAGTTAGATCTAAGTCTAGTTACAGCGATATGCGTCTGGAATGAAAGCAGTTGTAATGCAAATCCACAGATCCAAACGTTTAAACCACCTTATGTGGCTGACGATTTTACTCCAAGACTGAAAAAGTGGCTTAGCATACCGCACTTTGTTGGTTTTTAGCAGCAGAATCTATGCTGGAAGGCTGACTGAAGAATTTGCTGTCAAGAAAAACACTCGGAATACTGGGTCCAAAGAATATCTTGGTGTTAGAGGCAATGGAGTTGTACTTAATCTGCTCCAGGTACTCAGGCGTCAGTTTAAGCTAGAGAGAGAACAAGACAGGACAGATAAATGGTGATTACATGAACGCTAGGACTGAAATATGCCACTTGATAAAACACAAATAGCCTTTATCAAGGGCCACTTTCTAACGGCACGAACCCAAATACAACAACAGACCCTTTTACAGTTGTGTGCTCAGTTACCTGGCCAGTGAGTGCAAGCGAGGCTGGAGGTGACCTTGCTTTGATACAGATCTCTCTGCTTTTCTCATTTAAATGCAAAGTAGTTAGCATTAACAACTTGATTTACACAACAAAAGTAGTGAGGTGTGGAGGGTCACCTCCAGCCTCGCTGCAATTAAAAGGCCAGGTCACTGAGCAGACAACTGTTATCAATTAACTGTGAATTCAAATGAAAATATCAAAGCATGAAGTTTTATTCTTAAAGTGCACGCAAACCTTACATGCAAACTTTCTTGTTATTTGTAAAATAACGTGTTGTAGTTGCAAAGCAACAAAATAACCAGATTACTCATGACTGATAAGAGAGATCTGACACCATGACTGAACACTATCAATTATCAGACTTTCACTCATCTGGACTTTGGCTATGATATTATAGAAGTCTTCTAACTGTTAAAATGAATTGAATTAAAATCCATTCAATCATTGATGACCTGCTATATTCACATACCCTGTTCACGGCGTTCAGCCATTAGCCTGGCAGCTGTGCGAAAACGACGAAGGGAGAAAAAGAATGGGGCCCGGTGACTGCCGTATCGAGCGAGCGCCGTACTCCTCACATACTTTTTCTTTCGTCGTTTTGCGCACTGCTCCCCAACAAACCCAACACTTGGAACAGACTATATTTACAAAGTAAGGCAAACTTAATTAATGTGATGTCATAATCATACAATTTCCACTACATGTGTCACACTACCTTATTGGCCTCAGCAAGTTTCACAGCAGTGTAAAATTCTGCGTCAGCTCTAGCTTTCATACGGGCTACATGAGCACCATCTAAAAACAACAAACATGACAGACATACATCCATGTAAACAATGTCAATGTACTCATGTAGACACGCGTGTGCATTTTGTAGGCCTGGCCCAGGTTGTTCGAAAGGTGGATAATGCTATCCACTGGATAAATCACTATGCAGTGGATTGAGTGGTTTGTATTGTTAACACTTATCCACTGGATAGCGATTTATCCGGTGGATAGCGTTATCCCACCTTCAAACAACTGGAGCCTGAATTGAGAAAGCCACAGCACCGCCACAGAGAGCCGAGTGTCGGCCAGGCTTGCACAGATCTTGGGAATGCTGGTTTACAAACACATGTACATAGTACAATGGGTTAGTTTTGCCATAACATTGACAGGGTTTGTTTCTTTGCTATTACACTGATATTAATAATTAATATCTATTGTTTGTTGTCAGCTTTAGAGCAGTAGCTTGCACACACAAAAGGAGTGAATTTTGGCCACACAAACACTAACACTGAAACATCCCATATCAAGACCTACTGTCAGTTGTCAAAGTATTGTGTGGCAATGAAGAAATAAGACAATGCATGGAAGTCAAGCGATTTAAACACAGATCCTCACTGCATTATGCCAAGTGGAGTGAGAGCATTGACCTTTTACCAAAATACAGATGAACTTGATGACATACAAACACACAGAAATAACACTGAATAATATTGCTGGTAAATGACCCACCCTCGATCTCGGACATTTTCCTGAGACTCTCTTTCTCCATAATTTTCTGATCATATTGAATCTTTGACACTTGAGCTGCCTTCTCAGCCTCTGAATTATGACGCCAGGGAAAAAGAAAAGTTGTAAGTTACATATAGCTGAATTCAGTTATCAGGTAAGGCTAATTAACAAAAAAATCCCTTAGGTCTCTCAGATAGTGCCATTGTTAGAACTTGCCACACGATAAAAATAAGAATAATAACAAAATCACAAGAAAGACAAAAAATTCTTGAGTAACATGCTGTATGTATAAGTTACGTGTCAAGTAACATGATGTTTATGACACAGTTGAAAATTGATAATGTGTGATCTGTATTATTAATAGCGCATGCCTTTACAGTAATAAATTGCCAATGAATGTCACTTTAAAATTTTGTTGGGGAAACCAAGTAATAAAAACAAACAAACTTGTGCTTGTTCTGTACTGGCTTCATGGGTTGACGAGATTCTATGCTTTCAAACACTTACAATAACATATAGGACTTTTACAGCTGCATAACAAGTCACCACTGACAAAATTTAGCAAACATAAAACAAATATCTTCTCTGGTAAAAAGAACCTCCAAATGCTCACCAATAACAGCCTTCTTCCTTTCTGTCTCTGCCTCTTTCTCAACCACTTTTTGTTTCTGTTGGGCAATCAACAATTTTGTCTTTTCCCCCTCCCTGATAATAAAAAAAAACAAAAGAGATCTTTTTTTACTTTCTCTATATGTACATGGACATGCACTTGATTGAGCTAGGCACTTGACACAGAAGTTAAAAACATTCTGTCACAAAAAAATCTTACAAGTATACATGCAGGAGGACAATTATAAGACAAGTACATGTAATTGTAACATTTTTTTCTTGTCAGGGTTTCTAGATAGTGTTAATAATACACTGGACACACTTCTTAGAAACACAGTAAAGATAAAATATTAAAAGGAAATAAAGTAGCAATAAAAAGTATAAAACTGATTGATTAAAAAGACATTTTATGGGTTTGATTCACAGTTGATGAAACCTTATTGTACAAGGCACATTTAAACAGTCACAGGGAGAAATGTCTTATTACTATATAGAGTGTAAATGCAAGCACTCAAGTTTGCTTTGGATTTCTCTGCATTCTCAGTGCTGTGTAATATAACTCCTAGAAATATATATATATTTTTTTTCAGGTAAAGTTTGCATTGGGCCGGAGTATCAATTAAAGCTTTTGCCAATAAAAATAAGATTACTTCTACTCCCCTACATGTACATGTAGATGGGATACTTTACCACATGCCATCTGACTGTATTGTTTTACTGACAGGGGAAAGAGAGGGGAGCAAGTGGGGAGTGATTGGGGAGAGGCACGGTGAGAGTGAAGAGTCTTGCCTATACAACACTATAACATGACCAGGGCTCAGACCCAGACTGCTTGCTTTGGCACTAGAATTATTTTTTGCCTTGAAGAGTAATTCAAGAATGCTAATAAACCTAACTTCACTAAAACCTTCAATAAATTTCAACATTAAAACTATTTTAAGAACACATTTTGAAAAATAAGGACATACATTGTCTTTAACAAATTATATCAATGGTCGAAGTCTGCAATTACGAATAACAGATTGAACTATTTGTTTTTTTTACACCAATAATGGCTGTTTCATGTTAGATGTATTTACATTGCTTCATAGTTGCGTCTAATGCTTTCTGGTATCTTTGGTTTGGTGACTCTCACAGCCTGTTAAAACATGAATATGGTACACATGGTTGAGGCAATCACAAGTAAGCCTTTGAGTCTGTCTCAGTTTGTTTTTAGTTGCTGGTGTTTCAACAGTGATATGTTTCAGGGGGTGAGGAGAGTGAAATGATCAGCCTAGCAAACACCGACCATTACAAACAGATGTACAATTTAAAGTAACTGTTATATAGTACATGTATGTAAACCAACTGAGCTGGTAACTAAATTTCATAAACTGCCAGGGCTGATAATAAGGGTTGCAAAGGTTGCCCGTAATGCCTGTTACGGCTGAGTACCCTATGCTTGATTTTCTGTTGATGCTGCAGGTGAAATTGCCTGTTGTTGATAGAATTCACCCAAAAAGTAACAAGTTTGCTATGGGTGTGGAAACAAGGCTACTGATGACTCAAAACTTAATGACAGCTCTCAACTGATGGAATGAAAGGAAAGGAAAGACTCAGATTTGGAAACTGAATGATGTGTATTGCCCAAAATGAAAAACTATAGACTGATTCAGATGGAAGGATTACATTAAGTGTAATCAAGGCCTTAAGCTACTTTTGATAAATATTAAAGTTCAGCTTGGTAGCTACAATGTAGGGCTTAAGTTAGTTAGGGCCACAAGACATAGTCAAACACACTACACTTTTTCTGTTTTTGTCCTCAGGGCCTCACTACCAAACTGAATATAGAGCTGTTTTGAGAAGGATTGCCCTTCAAAAGTCTATAAGTGTATGCAACAATACCAAAGTTATTATAGGTTGTGCTGGTTTAATGCTGTTTGACTGAAGTTCATGATGTTTCAGTAGAATAAAGAAAAAAGTCATAAAGGTACATTAATTTTTTTTTTTTTGTTTCGTTGGTTTTTCCCTCCTGTGCTCTGAAACATTGTAAATTTTGAATCATTATTTTGGCTTCATCATGTATGCTTCCACACTTCTGTTGGACAACCTAATTGCTTGAGACAGCACTATCAAAAGTAGTTTGTTGGTAGCTTGTCACTGTGTGGGATTAGACTAAAAATTATGATGGCAACAGATTACAGGGAACAGATGAAACTTGAAGTTGAAATGCTTGGACTAATGTAGCCATAACATTCACAACAGAACTATGCACATTGCAAAAAAAATGTCATTCATTTGATATTTGTCTTACCTGCACTCGCAAGCCAGGAGCCATAGCTAGCAGATCTAACTGAAGAGCTGTACGCAAGTTCTCATCAATTTGATCTGAAGAAGACAAAATAAGACATCATTCAATAATCTGATAAGCAAAATAATTATTAAATAAATGCAGTTCAAGATAGTGACAAATATGAACATTGACAATAAAATTCAGTTATTACACATGGTACCAGATTATACATAGCACTTGAACACATTTTACAGTAGTTCTTCATTTCAATCTGTGATTTTGTGAGAAGTGATCCTGATTGAGACTCAATTTAGCAGCAACTAGAAAAAGGCAGCTGCAATAAATAACCCTTATTATTTAGATTTCTTAACACGGCATATTGCAGACTGCTTAAAATTATTAATGAGCTTGAAACATTTTCCATTCTCTGTTTTCCAAAATTTTCCCGAGGCTGTGATCTAACAAAAATTTTGAGGAGCCCAAAGGTTCCTAACCATGAAATCCGGTGCATGTAAACTTGTATGACTTATATTGTGACTTCTATCACTTAAGCTTAATAATATATGAAAAAAAGTATAGTCTCGAGCACAGCCCTGAATTCCCCATAGTTCACTATCTTCGCCACCCAATTTTTGAATGTACATGTATACTATTGTTGTGAAATGTTCTTGAGAATATGGAGATGTCCCAAGAGCATTTAAACATAAATAGTTTATGGAAAATTTGAGCAGCAAACAATATGAATTATAGGGAATTGGAAAATAGAGAATGTTGGTATTGAGTTATAGAAAGATGAGTGGAAGTTTGAGAGGACTGGAACTACTGTTTTGAGTTCTCCCAAACTTTCCTAAGTGTTGCTATATTACATGTACTCAATAAAACAACACAAAACTGCGGAAATACACTTCATTAGAAAATACTACACAGAAAAGAAAGGAAAACACTAGTCTATTGAGATTGTCAATGTCCTTGACATTTATTTAGTAATTTTATCTATTGAACAGATACAATTTGATGGCAAACAAATCATCATGCCATGATAATATACATGTATATATACATGTAATGATGTATTTAAGTTTATTAAAACTGAAAACAGAAAAAATTATTTTGAAAGTTAAAAATATAAATTAAGCATATATTATGCACACTAATTGCAGTTCCAAGAGGGGAAAAATTTTAAAAAATAATTGAAAAACCTATGCACATTCAAGAACTTACCAAACAGATCTATGTAAACTTCTTGAAGAGTGTGTGCACTACAAAACTACAAAGGACATGAAAACAAATGTTAGATATCATCATAATTTAAAATTATACAATAGTAAGTAGGCCTGAAATAATAACTACATGAAGCGTAGATCAATAGGTTTACAGTGACTCTCACAAGTCATTAAGTTATTTTATAATCATGTTAACTAGTAATTCTGCAAATTTGCACATTGCTCTGACTTTAAGTGCCTATGAATCGAAATGAAAAAGTTGCCTAAAATAGTACCATGGTATTGATGATCTAATGTTTTGACCATAAATGTTTTCATTCTAACTTTACTTTTCTCCCTCAACCTTCACAAGGACACGCCACCAAGAGAGAAACTTGCTCACCCAGTTTCCCAAGAACGTGTCAAATTTGGGATGTTGAGACCCTAGGATTTCTTTCCTACACTTCTAACAAATTTCACCAATCCTATTTGAATCTCGGCACTCAAATGACTTTATTTCTGTTTAAAAATATTTCATACGCACTTTAATAATTTTATGACTTTCAAGAGGGTGGTACTATTTGAAAACTGCCTGGCGCAATTCAATGGGAGCAAAATAGAGTGAGTTCACCTGGTTCAATTCGTGATGTATCTTGTTAAATATCAATGCTTTGTCATAGTCTGCAGTGTAGTTTCTGACAATATCAAATACTGCAAATCAAGATCAAAAGTTCTATGATTGTCTAGGATTACATGTAAAGAGTTCCACATTTGCTGGGCAAAGGATTGGTCATCACAACTGGATCAGATGACAATAACATGTCTAAAATGTGGTACATAATATATTATTTTGTAACATGTACATAACAAAGCTTCGCATAAAATCCCTCAGTTGCTGGCCATTTTCCTTTAATTAGAAAGATCTTCATTCAATTCAAGTCAATTTAATTCAAATCAATTTTAATTTTAACTCTCACAAACATTAATTTTAAGTACTTAATAATTAGAGAGAAACTAAATGATATAATCAAATTTCACCTGAAGAAGCTTCAAGGATGTTTACAACTTCAATACGATCAAAGTAAATAACAACTCCACCACTAAAAAGCAAAAAAAAAAAGGTAAATAACATTATTATGCTTTTTACAGGCTGGTACAATGTATACCCAATAAAATCCAGAAATCCTCAGGGAAGTTCAGTTTAAATATTAAATTAATTGATACAATTGCTCAGACATGTATTGAGTTTTTGTTCTCAATCAATGATAATTATTAAAACTGATAAATTTGAGAACAAATTCAATATTCAATACATGTCTCAATCATATCAATAATACATGTACTTGGAGAGGACAGGCACCCAACACCATTTGAACTCAGAATACACGCACCTTGTTCCACATGGAACATTTTTGACTTCATCAGTCTGTAATGTAGTTTGCACTGAGCGGAATGATGTTAGAAATGGAACCATTATGTGATAACCAGGTCCACTGGTAGATGACAGCAGTGCACCACCCTAAAACAAGACAAGTCTAACGTAAAAAGTATTGAACAGTACAACAACTTCTCTAATATACTATTAAATGCATCTTTGAGGGGCTGTGACAACATTGTCTAACCACATCTATCATAGAGATAAGTGGACATTGCACAAGCTGCTTTACAGCTACCAAAGCTGAGAAATTTATTTCTATTCTTGGCAATTTTCTATAAAAGCTTGAATCATGCTTTTAACTCATTCTGCATATACAGAGCATGTGAGAAGTTTGGAGAGCTCTCAAAGCTACATTGTAGAGTTGCTCTCAGCTGCACCTCAAGCAACTTCTACACTTCTTAATGTATGCTCTCCAAATTTCCTGTGCATGTCATAACTCACTGATGTATGCCAAACATGTATCAGTTGTTAACCAGATGGCTGTTTTTAAAAGTGAAGAGTCACTCCATGTGGCAAAGTGTACATGTAGCTATGAATCTCAGACTCAGTTGAAGTTTTTTCAATAGGTGAGGATGAAACGGGGAGAAAATAGCAACATTTCTATTCATTGATACCTGGCTGTATAATATTTTAGCTCTGTAATGAAAATTGTAAACAATTTAGTTTTTCCTCCTTACCCGATAATAAACTCCTACATGTCCTGCAAATAAGTTAAAAAAACAAAACAAAACAAAGAAGAAAGGGATTTGTGAGATGTTAATGAGCCAGCAAGACTTAGTTAACACATAGAAATGTACACAATATCCAGTTGTATAGTTTGCCTTTCTGTGCAGTAGGAAATCAAATCAATGATTTTTTCAGTTTAACTTTCTTCATAGATCAAATACCCACAAATACACCCTGAACTATCCTCTACTATGCTAAAAGATGCTGCTAACATTAGGGCCATTTAGGAAATTTAATTCAAGATCTTTTAAAGTAAAAAAATTTGCAATAATTATCTACAATGTTAGAGGTTAACAGTGCACTGTTGCATGCAAATTTTAAGCAAAGACTTGCTGCATAATTTCACATTGATCTACTAAATTAAAATTTTTGTCTTTGTTCTGCACTACTGACAGCTCACTTAATGACTGATCCTTCTTTGCAACAAAAAGTTAATTTTATTTCCTGGGATTCCCCATGTTTCCTGAAACTGCATTAAACTAGTCTGGGACCAGTCATTGCATGTAAGTGTTAATTATTATGTTATTACATTTCTTGCTACAATTTTGTAAACAAAACAAAACAATCCAAACACTCAAATATGTAAGAGAGAAAGTTTTGAGGTCTTTAAAAATATGCAAAGTAAGACTATTATTAATTTATAACATATTGGTTAAAACAACCTGCTAGCTTGGAGACAGTGAAAACGAATACTATTTACACATGCAGCATACAGATTTCCCTTATAGTGCCTTTTATTTGTATCTTTCAAGGCAAAGTTTAATGCTTAACTTTAAAAGAACTTTTACGGAGACATTCAACTCTATTTAAGGTTAATATAAGTTCTTAACTTAACATCTTGCCCCCTTGCAAACACTGACTGTTTACAGGTTAACTTGAAAGCACTTACAGGTGAGCTTAATTTAACCTAAGGTTTTAAAAGTAAATAAGGCAAAATGAGTGGTCATTTCATTTGGGTATAAGAATTCTCATATATTAATCAGCATCCTAGAAGCTTTACATTGCATTTCTTTAAAAAAAAAATTAAGAAGACTTTGGCGTCTTCAAGAGATAATCTTCTAACGTACAGCTTTTCAGTCCAGCATACGAAATATGTTAAACTTTGCCACAAAATGAAACGAATGCGAATTGAAACATGACCGCTGCAACTAATAAAACTTCTCAATACTTCATCTTACCTTCATCAATTTTGTGAACGGAAAAATTGAACATTACTGCAAAGAGCGCAAGGATGATTCCGGTAACAATGGCGGCCGCCATCTTGATGGAAGAGAAAGGACTCACCCAGGATGCTATGCGAGCGAAAAACAGGTGTCTAAAATTAACATGCGGCTGAGGTACATGTAGTCTACTTGCGACCTGATACTCGTCATTTTCCTTGATTCAGATTTTTCGACGAATAAGCATTGCCGTTGTGTCTAGGTATCGAAGTATCAAGATATTTGAGTCCCTGGTGGTTTTTTTTTTTTTTTTTTCCTTTGGATCCGGTGAAACTGGAAAAACCTTCAGGAAGCGTCGAGTCTATGAGGTTATTAGGACACGTGACGTCGATTGGTACAATCGATCAATCATTGACGAGAATAACAAAGTTGAGTGGACTTCAAACATGGCGGGCAGTTCTCCACAGGTCTTGAAACAGGCATTTCACGAGACTTACGAGCTAAAAGAAGAACTGGGAAAGTACGTATTACTGTGGGACAATTTTAAGTCGGCGTTAGTGTACATTTTGAATTTTGTTCCGCGTTTTTCGCTCGCAGAGGTGCATTCAGCATTGTTCGACGGTGTGTACACAAGGAGACGAGAGTTGAGTATGCCGCGAAAATTATCAACACGAGAAAGTTATCATCTAGAGGTAAGAAAGTGTAATTTGACTTGTTCATAAATATGTCAAATCGAAGTGTTGTCTGAAAATTTGTTTTTGAAAGGTAGCTTACGGAAAAGTTAAGAATTGTCCGTCAGTTATTTGAGGCCTCCCTGTAGCAAATTTTGGTTGAATCCTTACGACCCCGGAAGATTTGGGTTAAAACGACGTGCACAAAAAAATCATAATCTGATTCTTTTGAGAAGTAACTGCTCTTTCAATGGCAGTTTTGTTTTGCGAGGGCAAGGTTATCCTTTGACATACAAAGGACGCGTCTTTTATTTTTAAGGATGTTAAGCTCGGCATATTATGCTTCGAGAACGAAATTGCTATTATGTTGTTGTTTCATGGAAGAGCTAAGATTTTTTTCTAGCGATATATATGGTTTTATACTTTTGTACCAACATGTAGGCCTACAATGAAATAATATTCTCAACTGCAAACCAGATGTCGCTTTGCTTGAGCGGGATCGAAAGTTTCACCAGAATGAATTTAATATTTCAACGGGCAAGAGCCCAAAACATCAATTCTCAGTGGGAGAGAGGGAACAGCTTTCACCTGTGCTCACCATACTTTGATATTTGCCCAGATAAATCCTCAAATATATTTTCCCCTTGCTCATTAGATCTTCAAAAGCTCGAGAGAGAAGCTAGGATATGCCGTCTTCTGAAACACGCAAACATAGGTGGGTAGAAAATACATTTATATTAGTAACTTAAATATCACGCGAGAGAAATTGGCAGGCCCACAAATTAAGGTCTATAAAATGTTGGAAATATTCTGTGTAATTTCTAATTTCCTCAAGATATATGTTAGCCGGAAAGGCCCATTATTTTGGGGGAGGTGGTGTCCTGTAGAAGTTCCCTGAAACAGTCAAAGGCGTTTTATGTTGAAAAGAAACGCGACTGTAAGGCTTTCAAACGCTCAGATCACCTCAACAACTGTGTAAACAGAGAGAGAAATGCATTTAATTTCAATGTCAGCGGAACTTTCTTGGGTAGAAAGTCAGACTCGCTAATAGATGTCACATGAATGAACTCTCAGCCGTTAAGCTGGTGCAGGTTGGGAGTACAAAAGATGCGTCAATATAACGTGCGTGCGGTTGTACTGTAGCTCGGGTTTTCCTGCTTGGCAAGTTGCGAGTCCGGGCGTCTCCCTTTAAATTGCAACCGTGTGAATTTAGGTTTATTGAATCGTTGATGTTGTCGATCACACACTGTGAGGTCTTCCTACTCGATCATTAAACCATGTTGAATTGCGCTGCAGTCCATCTGTCGTTCGCTCTTAAACTTGTAGTCATTAATCTGAGCTGTGGCACGATTTTATATCGACAAGAACTGTCTGAATTTCTACGCTAGATAAGATTTCACTTTGGTTTGCGGAGGTGGTGGGTTTGATTGCTTGTAAATTCCACGAGTTGAAAACTTTATCCCAGCTGCAGATTATCAGAACGGCGCGAAAAGATTTCCAATATTTCTAATTGCAGTTTCATTCAATCTTGTATTGTTTTACAAAATAATACCGACTATATGATTCTGTATTCTGTCGATAAGACTGAAATGTTAACACTGAATCATGTAAATAATAATATTGTATTTTGTGTGGAGGAGGAAAAAAATAAGACAATTGACGCGCGTCGATTTCGCGGGAAGGGTCACACACGCGACATGCACAGACAATATAATGGCACTGAAATGGCTTTTCGTAAAACTGCAAATAGGTTCTTAAAACTTGAATCAACCAACAGTTTGAGATAGACGTGTGCGGGGCAAAACAACTCCCAGAAACCAAGAAATAACAATGCGTCGTCGTGCTGTGCCATTTGTACATTATTTAATGGTCAAATACTGACGAGGCTTCACGGTTGTTTCGATGCAGTTTTACTATTTTTTCGAAACGATATAAATTGCTGATAATTGAAGGTTAGTACAGGAGGAAGAAAAAGAGTAAAAGAGAACTGTTAGGCTTTCGAATACTAAGAAATTTTAATTAAACGCGCAAGTTATTTACCGAGTCAGACTGAAATAGGAATTAAATTAACACAGATAGTAAGATACCAAGTAAGTCAGTCATCAATGAAAGTAGATTAGATGATTAATTCTCATAATCACATGGCTAAGTTTTGTCTCAACCTTGTGCACAAGTCGACAGTGCTCTCCAACCATGCAAACCTGAAACATGCACTTTCCAATTACACATGCAAGGTCTAGATGTTTCCAACTGTCGGTGATAGATATTTGTATAAGATAGAACAAGTATTTGAGGCATAATCCTGAGAGGGTTAATGGGGTTAATCTCAGACCCTGAAAGTGTTAATTAAAATCTTTTTTCCTAACAGGTAGGTGTGGGATCACTGCTCATTAGCACTGTTTATTCCATTTGTTAGGATTTCCTTCCCCTATTGTAATACATGCAAATTAGTTGTCCTTCATTCGCCATTGCATATTTTGGAATATAAATATCAGCTGTTTTTTAGCGGCTAGAATTGTGTGTTCTGGGTAATCTCATATTCTGTTTTTCTGCTATTGAAGTTTGAAAATTTGTGGAAATGTTCACTGGAAAAGAAAGTAAACTGTAATGCACATGCTGAAATGCTATAAGACTGAACTCAAATTTTGCTGCTAAAGCTGCGAAGATCCCTTTCATCTTTGTTGGTCAGTTTCTTTTGGCGGAAACATAATACATATGTTTTTCTTTTCAGCCACAGGGGGTTATACAAAAAGGAAATTCACCTGATAAATATCTGTTTGTCACACAATAATGTTTTTGTCACCTTCAGGGATCATGAAATGTCAAAGGAAATGTGAAATTTGTCAGTACTTTAGCTATATTCTGCATGTAGTGTCTAATTAAAATTTATGTGGTCTTTACACATAACATGCACTGTTTTGTGTATGTCGCAGTGTCATATGCAAAATGTTGTTTTGGAGATGTCCTTCATTGTATTCCTTTTGTTTATTTATACAAGGAGCCTTCCTGTTGTTTCTTCCTGTCTGTTCACATCTACATTCCCCACTTGTTACAAAATCTTAGTGCACAAGAATTCATACAATGCTTTGATATGGGCGATCCTATTAGTAAGACATGTCACTAGGTTGGTAATTGAAGTCATGACCAGAATGATCTGTCTTCGGTTATTGTGCTGTAGACTTTCTAACTCCTTAACTATGCTAATTTAGAGGAGGGTTGATTTGTGGTACATATAAGACTTGAGTTAGTATTATAATTATAACATACATGTACATATAACACTCACATTCACAATGTCTTCCTTACACTGTACCTGTAAGAGAATCCAAATCACCAGTTCTCCAACCTGAACATCAGGCCTTTTCTTGAAGGGTAGGAGGGGGTGGGAAAAAGTAGAGGCTTGACACAAAGCATTCATTGGCTAATACAGAGGTCTTAAATCATAAAATAGAGAAATCTGTTCAAAGAACTTAAGGGAGACAGTTTTAGATAGTGCAGAGTGCAATACACAAAGCTGTGATATACATTGATTTTCATTCATTTTAAATTCAGTAATTCTTGAAGTAGCAAACTTGACAATTTTACATTCAGGCCAACATTCATAACTTGATACTTTTGTTTTCCTTGCAAAGGTGTCTAACACATGATACCCTTGTTTTCTTGAAAACATGAGGAAGATGTGCTAGCCTTGTTTTTTCTCTACTGGGGATAAATGGAAGAAAGTAAATAATATGTGATAAAAAATGGAAGAGGAACAATTTTGTTTTCTTCAAGAATGCAAATTTTCATCTCACCTATTAACTAATTTAAAACCTAACTTAATTATCAAAGAGGCACAAAGGAATAGCATGTTCTTTATTCTGTTGCCAGCTTTGAAGTTAACAATTACACCACTTAAAATTAAAGCATATTTATATGGATTTTTACAACTGAACAGCTTTTCAATGAGAAGTATTGAATGCAGAAGGGTATAGCAGCGCTTCTTGACCCAGATTATATTCTAAATTGGTGAAGAGTCCCTTCAAAGACGGATTAAGTTAATTTGCGCTTTCAATAGGTGCCACAAAGTCTGTGGTGTAATGAGAAGATTTTTTTGTCAAAAATTCACAACTTTACAAGTGTTAATGCCACTAAGCTGAGAAAGATCTTGCTGAATAATGGACTTCCTGGTCTCTTTTATAGAGGCAATCAAAGGAAGATAAACAACGAGCCACTAAGGAGAAGAAATATGTCACTCTTTATTTGAACCCTGGAAAATACACTTAATCAGTACTTTAAAAACAGTAGACGAGACAATCTTGAACCGAGCAAGGGGAAATTCCAGAAGGATAATTGCCATCACAGCTATGTAGTGGGCAAGCATTTGTAGCACTAAACGAAGGAGAAGTGATGTTACCCAAAATGTAACTGACACTGATATCCTGATCAAAATGCATAATGTGAGAGTGTGGTACACGTATCCCACAACATATATAAACAGCATGGCTCTGGGGATGAGAATGGAGTGTTTCATGCTATTATAATGCTAGAACGCATGCGTCATACAAGATGTTGCAGTGTTTTCGCCAGAGCGCGCCATTGCGGGAATCCTGCGTTACAATCAGAGATGGCCCCCAGAAAAACGAAAAAAGGGCCAATTTGGTCCTTTCCTTTTACAAGACTGCAGGCTTAACACAGGCATAATATTTTAAAAGCCATCCCAGGGCTCGAGATTGTGATCGATATGATTGCCAATGCAACAAGCAGTTCATCCTTGGCAACCAAAAATTCTGGTTTAGTAGCCATATTATGGCATAATGGCGACTACATTTCTCTGTGTTGACGATCAATAACGGTTATTTCGTCACACATTATGTCCTTCTAGAAAAATCATATTGAAAGATCTTTGCTTCTAAAACATTCAACATAAGAAAAGAAGTCAATCCGTNTATGAAAAAAGGGCCAATTTGGCCCTTTCCTTTTACAAGACTGCAGGCTTAACACAGGCATAATATTTTAAAAGCCATCCCAGGGCTCAAAATTGTGATTGATACGGTCACCAATACAACAAACATTTCATCCTTGGCAACCAAAAATTCTGGTTTAGTCTCTGTAATACAGCATAGTGGCAACTTCATTTCTCTGTGTTGACGATCAATAACGGTTATTTTGTCACACATTGTGTTCATCTAGAAAAATCATATTGAAAGATCTTTGCTTCTAAAACATTCAACATAAGAAAAGAAGTCAATCCGTCCTTTTGCTTTTCTGTATTGATTCTTTCATATCAAGAATCTTCCAAATGGCTGACTGTGTTTGAAATTGCCCTATAATGCATTGCAAACCCTTGATCATTGACTACGTCATGTATGCCTATGGATTGTTTTCTTGTAATGCACGGATCCTTCATAGTAGCAGGGCTTGAAAAAAAAACCCATCCGGTCATCCGGGACAAGTAGATTTTCCCTTCGGGCAAGTAACTTTCTCTCCTTACTTGCCCCATGGGCNTGGCCCTCAAGTAAAATTTTCTGGCTGAAACACTGGATGTTACATCATGCCACAAGGAGAAGCACTCAATATTCGTTTGCCATAAACATTAGTTACCAAAATATAGTTATTTGCAGATTGTATAGTAGTTGACATTATATCTGTCTCTTGTCTATGCAGTTAGACTTCATGCTAGCATTGCTGAAGAAGGATACCACTACCTTGTGTTTGACTTGTAAGTGTCTTCATTGTGTCTGACTTGTGAATAGTCATCATCATCAGCTACTTCTAAAATTTTTATCAGTGAGAGCTGTAGTTGAAAGAATGAGCAAAGTATGAGAATAATGAGCTGAAGGTGTCTCAGAAGTGTTTACACAACATTTTCATGTTTTTCCAAACTGTTACTAACAATACTAGGTATAATTTTCATAGCTCTGACAGTAGTTAAAGGGGTTAAGCATCACAGACTGCACATGTGCAGTTGATCATCCAAAATTTCGCAGATCTGGTCCGATGCTTTCAAGTTTGTGATCTGTGAAACAAAATGGCGTCGACAAGAAGAGGGCCGGAGGCTGTAAAAACAACTCTGGCCGTAAAAAGGTTTCACTCAAGCAACAGCAGAAAAAGAGAGTGCGAGAAGCCTCAAAGAAGAATTTGGCTTGAATTAAATATATTGTTACAAGCCAAACTTGAAGCTGGCTATAGTACTTTAAGTTACTGCGGGAGCGTTCCCAGAGGCAGATAGTCGTGTATGCGTTGCTTGTGAGACTGTCCCTTACATGTAGAAAACCTTAATATTTATTTTAAAAGTAGTTTGTGTTACACTCTCAGTAGTTCTATTGTATCTAACATATGGGTATAATAATTACTGTAGGTAAGGGTATTTTTGATCAAGACGTCTACATTTGTAGGCAGATTGTATGGCGGTTTTTTTTTTTTGTCTTATTTTATTTTTTTTTTATTGCAATGCACGTAATAGTTGTGTAAATAATTATTATTTACTTGACTTTCAGTACAATACTTTATTAAACATAATTAACAGTACTTTCGGTATAACACAACTAACTCACATTAACTCACGCACACACACTCACGAACAAGTTTACATAGCAAGTTATTCAACTACTTCTAGTATTTATATTACCTATTTCTTCCCAAACATATCTAAATTATTTTTTTGTACAGATGTATTTCTCAGTCTCCTGTACAGATGTATTTCTCAGTTCATAGTGGTTGCAATTCTGTTAAGTTGTAGTTTGGACATGATGCTATATTACTGTACTGTAGTGAAGAGTTTTTGTTACTGTACTTGTCTACAATGCGTATTTCGCTGAACAAAAAGTCTGCGTTTTACTGCAGGGTTACTGGAGGAGAATTGTTTGAAGACATTGTTGCTAGAGAATACTATAGTGAAGCTGATGCCAGGTAATAAAAGTGGTTGATTAAATGAATGTTAATTGGAAAATTCTTATGTGCAATACAATAAGATTTACTAGGTTCCCCGAGAGGATCTTCCTTACCTAATTTACAATTAATAATGGATAGCCTTGGAAAAAAGTTAGCTGCCTGTTAATGAACGATGTACAAATTTTACAAATTATGGTGCTTAGTTTATTTAAATGGCCTTTATTATTGACCACACCAAGGCCTGTCCGGTTATAAAGCTGTAAATTTATATAATTTTGATTACCCAAGAAAATACACCCAACATCATTTTAACTTTATTCTGACTCATTTCTTTTTGGCATTCCTGTTTTCTTTGTACATGTAAATGTATGTACCTCTGAGGACATGTCAAGTTAAATGTAGCATTTATTATCTGGTAGGGGAAAATTATGTGTTGATAATATATTATATTATTTTCATTCACTTTCTTTAAGTCACTGCATTCAGCAGATACTGGAAAGTGTTCATCATTGCCATCAAAATAATGTTGTTCATCGAGATTTGAAGGTACATGATTGTCACTGTGCATATTCTACATTATTAAGTTAAGTGAGTGCTGTTTTTCTCTTTAAGTTTTCAGTGTTCCAATTTGGCACTTATTTGGGAGCAGCGCTTGTTTGAGGGTGGCATTCTTTAAACAACCATGACTTTTGGTCCTGATAACATGCAAAATTATATTAACAACAAAATATAACCACTTTTTTTGAGTAGAATTAAATATAGTTGTAATTTTTCCATCCCACCCCCACAGAAGGGATTTTTTTTCTAAGACCGGCCCCCACCCTTCTGGAAATTCCAATTGAGCTTCATGCTACTTTTCTTTAATTTTTTTGGTCTTATGGTGATAAAAGGATCTGTTTATATTACCACAAGGCCAGTAATTTTAGGACACCCTGTTAAAGCTGCATTGTCAGGAATGAATGTGGCACTTATTCAAGTGGGGTGCTCTTTAGTAATTTCCTCTTATAGGTGGCACTTTGGAGGTGGTGCTTAATTGGGTTTGGCATTTAATTGAATTAATATGATTGGATGTTCAAGTGGGGTCACTTTAGATGAATTTTGAACACTAATTTAATTTAACATGTGCTCTTTTTTTTGTTACAACTGTATATAGCCAGAAAATTTGCTCCTTGCAAGTAAAGAAAAAGGTGCTGCGGTCAAGCTAGCTGACTTTGGATTAGCCATTGAGGTAGATGGTGACAAGCATGGCTGGTATGGTAAGTGGTATGTACAGTGGGGTGAGATGGGATGGGTGGGGGAACAGGCTAAAGCTGAGCCATTAAAATGACATTGCATGTACATGGGTCGTAAGTTCGGACTTGATTGAATATGATTGGTGTTTGTACATGACTTTAAAATTTGGATGTCATGAACTCTTGCATTTCTTTGTTCTTTTCAGGATTTGCTGGTACACCAGGATATCTTTCTCCTGAGGTACTCAAGAAGGAGCCATACGGCAGGCCTGTTGACTTATGGGCCTGTGGTAAGTAGCCCGCAGAACAGGTGGATTAGCGGGGCAGAGAGCGAAACGTTACAGCGAAAATGTCTGATCTTTACTTTTACTTCACTAGTCGTCTGCCGCCCCTTCGTTGCTTACCTGTCAACAGCGATGTTATCTTGTGTCATGCTATAAATCTGAGCCAATCAGCTGGAAATTCATGCGGCCAGTTGGAAGCGCGCGGAAGGCGAGAAAGCGCAACTGATGCACATGATGTTTGTTTTCCAAGCAAGGAGAATATCATGTTTTATTATATGGCTTGTGTTTATAGTCGATGTAACGCGCGTTCTGATTGGCCAATTGTAGGGTATGATTCTCGCGTAATGCCCACGGGCCGATTACGGGCCTGCAAAACCAAAGCAAAAAACCATATAATAAACAACTTATTAACGTGGAACGTTCGGTCTTTACGGGAAAATCTCTACGGCAAGGGGTTTCGGTTCGAGATTTTCCAGTAAAGACCTCACTCTCGGTTAATAAGTAGCTGGATATGTCTCTTAATTCCGTCAAGAAGAAAAAAATTCGGTGGAACATTAGAATACTTTTTGTCGAAATTGATCAAAAGAGCGGGAATAAACATTGGAGACTTCTCACAACTTCGTCAATTGCACATGTTTTTGACACTTTCAGAATCAATTGTTAAATGGCGCTCTTGCCAAATCACGTCGGAAGCATGGCCAAAACTTCTTCTTTTAAGAGGATGATCTTCCGGAAGCATTCCATTGTTAATAAAATCTTGAAGAGACGAAGTTTTAGCAGCTGAAGATCACAGCCTCGGGGCTGAAAATTCGTTGTAAACAAGTGTCTATTTCTGAGGCTGACATTGCGGCCCCAAGGCTTTGTGTTTGAAATTGCACCAGAAGTCAGATATTAAATCGCGTAACCAATCTGAAAGTGCGCCGGTAGTGTAAATTGCGCACGCGCTGATACGGTAACTTCCAATATATATCGGGCGCACTTCCGGTTTCTATGAATGCTAAAGGAAACGCGGTTTTTCATTTAATCGAGCCTTTCTCGACGAGTTTCGATTGAAGCCAACGTTGGAAACATAGCTATGCATTCCTTTTTCAAAATCATGCTTTTTTCAGAAAATTACGAATTTTTCAATACTTGAAATTCTCTCAAATCTGACCTTTTAGAAATAAAACAAAATCTATGCATAGCATAACGAGGATTAAAATTAAAATACTAAATCAATGAAAAGAAATCCTGATAAAGTAATTTGCCTGGGAGCCTTTGCATTTTGTCAGTATTAGTTACATGACCAAGGGCGTGGCCTGATGACGAAAACACTGGTGTTACTGATCATGGAAAAGTTAAAACACATGAAATAACTCTGAACTAACCAAATATGATGAGGTTATATGAGAATAAATTTTCCTTAGCAACGGCTCGAAAAGATCAGTTAATGGGCCCTTAAGACTCAGTGTCATAAACTTTTTATTTCTAACAGAGTATACCTACATGTATATTATAAGTAAGTTTTGTTTTATTTTTAACAGGTGTTATCTTGTACATCCTACTTGTTGGTTATCCTCCATTTTGGGATGAAGATCAACACAAGTTATACGCTCAGATAAAAGCCGGCGCTTATGATGTGAGTAATTCAATAAACCATCTCGTTGACGCAGTCGTGTTTTTTAATTGCAGCGTGTGTTTTTCTCAATTCCTTCTATCTGAGTCAAAATCTGAGCTTAACAGTTAAAATGCAGTCATGCTGTCGCGATTTTAAAGACATTTTTTTTATGGACTCTAGCTAAACGTATGCCAACTTGTTGTGAAGGTGTTCATAACAATGGTAGCTGATGTTGGTCAATAATATACACTCAACTAAGTACAATAGATTGTTCAATAAACTTCCAAGGACAAGCTCAAATTTATGGATTTTGTGGAACCCACACCCCGGAGAGTTACAGCTGCATGTACTGTTTGTTAAGTCCTCTGTCATCATGTGTGGTAAATAAATGTGTTGCTTCGTCAGCAAAGCAAGCGCTGAAAAGCCAAGGAAGGGAGATTGTCTGTTGCATTAAATGATTAGGGATAACACGTAACTTCCTTTCCTAGATGCATCTTTTTACCCTAAGTGTTTTAGTTTATATTTGTATATCTAGTTCGCATCTTGAATTTAAAAGAATATATATTAATAATTATATCAATTAACACAAATTCATGTAATACAGTACTGTTAAATGTGTTACTAAATCTCATTGTTTTTCTACTTTGTCTGATTAGTACCCGTCGCCTGAATGGGATACAGTTACAGATGAGGCGAAGGTAAGTGTAGGGTTTGAAAAACTGCTTTTATACCACATTATTCCTTAGGGTGTTGCACGGTTGCCGCCAAACGGCAGAATAAATATTCTCACAATAAACACGCTCTTTAGTCAGGGATTTCGTGCTGGCTGGCCAGTGTAAACCATGGCTGTTTTAAAAGAGTTGACGTTTCAACATCGTGGCAGAATTTTTTTCGAACACGGTAGATACGAATGCATTTTATTTTCGCTAAGTTTAAAACCTGCCAAAAAATAAAACAAAACAATAGAACAAAACAAAAAGAACACTGTCTAAAATAAGCAAAACAAATAAAGACTCTGGCATTCGGTGCAAATAATCAAAATTGACTAAGCGTATAATTATATATAAATAGATCAAGTTTAACAGATGATAGTTGCCTTTTCTATGAAATGTTTTTGTCCGAAGGTATCCATTAGTAACAAAAAACAGGTTACCTGATTGTGCTTTTTTTTCCTTGCCTATCGCAGGAACTTATAAACACTTTGTTATCTGTTGATCAGTCCAAGAGGATCACTGCGTCTGAGGCCTTGAAACATCCATGGATTGTGGTATGTAAAAACACCTCGACTGGTTTATTTTTGTTGAAGTTTTTGACTGATCAGATGGCATTTTTGCTGAACAAATTCATCAACCCAGAGGAGAGGGTCTCATTGGGGTATGACCGTAAGCCGTAAAAGCCACTACCCTATTGAGACCCTTAGAGGAGCAAAGGCTGTGCAATACATGTGGCTTGCACCATTAAGATTTTTCAAAGGCCCTGTTGGACCAGGCAATGTTTCACACGTGCAACTTCATGGCTTTTTCTTTCAATAACCTTTGTTGACAATAATTCATTTAGTTACTTCAATAAATCTACCCGGTAAAAGGTTTTTTTGTTGCGCCGTTGCGAGACATCCTGAATGAACGGACGGACTGTAGAAGTCAAATACTGACTCGTTTCGCGTAATTTCGTCGTTAATTAAGGCAATTATTGCAAATAAACAGAGCAAAATATTGATTTAAATGTACACAAGTTTATTGACACAATCGACATCTGATTCTTTAGAACCGTGAACGTGTGGCTTCTAAAGTACACAGACAAGAAACTCTGGACGGACTGAAGAAATTCAATGCCAGAAGAAAACTCAAGGTTAGTATCCCTGATAAAAGCCAAAAAACCTTATTGTTAGAATGCTCCTTAATGCTTCCTCTCGGCCCAATTTCTATCACCTGTTAAAAGAGCAACCTCAACCATAACGGAGAACTTTTTTTTACCACATCACAAAATGAAGCCCAAAGTGAGACCTCTTTTCATCATCAAATAATTGCTGTGTGTTCGTGAACTCATGGAGACGGATTAACGAAGCAGAATTCGAGACTAGATTCCGGAAAACCAATATAAAGTGATTTGTGTCCTTGAGATGGTTTTCTGGATTTTTTTACCGAGTTTTTGGTCAGAACAAGGAGTGCGCGTTTAGTATTTCACATGTGTTCACTCTCTTGGGTTAGTGAAACATTTAGTATTGGTGTTAACAATACTTACAATTATCATTGGAAACATTGGTGAATGCATCACGTGGTAATAAAGTTAACATAAAATTAAAATTCGTTATCGTTCCGTCAGAGTTTGAAGCGATCCTTGCGATGTCGATCGTCCAGATTTTCCGAATCGTTTAGTTTGTCTTGGTACCCCCCTCACCCCCGTAGCCTTGGGCCTACTTTATAACGATACATGCAGTACAGGTTACTGTATGTTAGAAATCGAGAAATTCTCTGGATAAAAATCTCTATACTTACTAGCAGAACTGTTTCCTCTTTGGCTTTCCTTGAATCTGTGTATGTTTTGTGACTAAGGTTTGTTTGATGTTTCTTTAGGGCGCAATTCTCACCACTATCCTGGCAACAAGTAATTTTAATCTTTCTGCAGGTATAATAATGTTCTTAGTGGAATTTCATTGATGTCACAATGTTGTTGTCGTTGCAGGGCGCCATCTTAACAACCATTGTGGCTCGTAGGTTTTCAGCTAACTCAGGTAACCAAAGAAATCACATAACAGTGAAAATAAATACGTTAAACATAAATCTTAACACTTTCTTAGAGCGGTGTTAAAAGCTCCTCATGGCCGGGTCTTAATCTTTCAGAATTAGACATAAAGTAATAACTGGAACTTTTTAGTGTTCAAACGTGTTGGCTACGCTTATAAAGTTACATCAAACCGTAAACGTTTTCTTATCTAAGATGACGTTTAAGCGATACTTCCCCTGCACGTTAAAACGAACCCGATATGTTTTAAATTTTTTTATCTAAATTCAATAAAAGTAAACGCTTGATACTAGCATAAATAAGTGCCTGGTAACCTTTGAGAAGAATCTTATAATCAGCCCAGTTGCTTCAGGTGGCTTACCCAGAGCTAGCCCTACATTAATCTCTTCGCCGCCTTCTGTTTGCATTATGTGGTCGACGATTGCCACGTTTGCACTGTTTCCTTTGAACATTTATACGTCGCTTATCTGAATGGCTTTTCTTTTGTCTCGCCCATTTGAAGTGTGCGAAAGCGGTGTATGAGTTCGGCGTTTTCAAACGCTATTTCCAAAAGAACAATAGCCAAAACTTTTTAATTCATTTGTTGTACGGTTGAAACATCACCAGGGAACATTATAAAAGTTTTTTTGTTTGGTTCGCTGTTTGTCATGTTATATCGTTTTTGTTGTTTGTCTGTTGATTTGTTTTTGTTTTGTGTCGAGGTAGGCTTGAACTGATAATAAGAGATTTTCTGTGTAATTACAGTCGTTTTCAAGCCTCCGACTCCAGTAGAACAACAAAAAACTTACCCACGAGGAGGAGCAATGGCACACTGTTAGTAAACAAACCTTTTTAATGAACCCAATTCAGGCTTTCTTATCTGTTTCACGAGCAACGTTATACCTTTATTTTGTTATTCTACACTTTACTGAGTTAACTTGCCGTTGTTCGTATGCTTAAGAAGTTCTGAAGCTATTGGAATTTGCTTTACACTTTATTGAACTCAGTTTGATCAAATGTGAAGTCGAAAATCACATAACTAGTAATCGGTTAAGAAGATTCGAACAGTTTCCCTTTAGAGTTTTGTGGCATGAGCAATTTAATCAGTTAAATTACTTGAAAGACTTAAAAGTTGTTTACTGAATGATAACCACAAATATGCTGAAAATAGACAGGTAAAATTTAAACTCTAGTATCTGAATCTTTTTCGTTAAATGTAGTGTTAAATATCTCCACTAAGTTTAAACAGTTTTCAGTGTTTTTGCAATCACTTTCTCGTGGACGCTAAATTTAAAATAATCGTGAATGAGTTTATCGTTCTTTCATAACATTTCTTGAAGGCCTTCTTATGAATGATACGAGCCCTGTAATCCATTATGTGTTACTAATCTTTCTTGCTCATCCTTAACACGGTGTCACAAATTCATTTGTACTTGCTTCATGTTCATCACTCGTGTACAACTGGTCTTAGTTGTTGTTTAAATTTAACAAGGTTTTACCACACTAACCTCTGATTCAAACAAATTGATCATATTCAGCCGCATTCGTAGAAGAAACAAGTCCGAACTACTGTTTCCCTGAATAAGGCCCCTACCTTAAGTTCCTATTTACCGTCTCGCAAGTATACATCCGCAATTTATACCCATAACAACCAACAGTATGTAACTGAATTGGAAAGGTATATCTTTGTCGGTAGTTACAGACCAATTCTCGGGGGTGTACCGACTGCGACTGAAAATAAACCGCAGGTATTTTCCAGCCAGCAAGGAAACCCTATTTTGCAAACACTTTCGTTGGTTTCCCATAAAACGTGTTGGACGAACGTGAAAGTCAAACTTTCGTCCAACATTCTTGGGACGGCGCCTCTTCAACCTCACCTCTCAAAAGCAACCGTCAAGTGGTTCACACACGTTTTCCCGAGTTTTGTTTCATGTACTCGTGTTTGCGTAGAGTTTTGATTGGTTCACTGAATTGGCGTTGTCCTTTGTGATTGGCCCGCAGAGTGATAGCTTTGGTTTTGGTTTTTGACAGTCGGTTGAAAAGCGCTCTGTTAGTGGGTAATGGGTTTTTGTTATCTACATCTTCAGCAAACCTTTGACTACTTTAGAGTGATTTTACATGATGCCACAGCGTTCGGAAAATACAAAATTTCCCTCTCTTTTGGAAATGAGTTTTCTTCGTATTTAAAAAGAAAATTGCTTATTTTTAGGAAGACCAATATGACTGCTACGAAAACACATTTGTAGAAGTATATAGACTGGGGTAGTTTTTTGAGCAGTGTTACTCAAAAATAGTCGTGTTGGTCTGAACTAGAGAACAAGACCGTGGAATAGGGAGATCGGGTTTGATGTAAGCTACAGATAAAACACTTCTTCCAGATGGTTGTGGAATAGGGTACAGATTTAAAAAAATCAGGTCCAATGTAAGGCACAGATTTTTGACGTCGTCGAGAGCTGGGGCCCGTTTCTCGAAAGCCCCGGAAACTTTTCGGGCCCGGAAAGCCATAGCAAAATCTCGAACCTTACGATTACAGCGCTGTTTTATTCACGTATTCTTAATATGAACAGAGGTTCCCTTCGTACAGGAAGTTTCAGGCGTATACACTACTCCGTTTGTAGATACAGATGAACTGAAAATGGCTTTACGGGCCCGAAAAGTTTCTGGGGCTTTCGACAAACGGGGCCCTGGGCGGTACACCTCCAAGAAAAATCCCGTGCTCTCCACCGTCCTTATTATGGGTGGTAAACTTTTGTAAGAGGTTTCAGTGGCAGTTGCTAACTCTCCATTTGTCATTAATTGCAGTGCGACCTTTCGTTAGTAAGAAAAAAGGATCAGATGAGGAACTTATGACTCATTCTGAAGATGAACACGAGGTTGATGTAGTGGCTAATAAAGGTTAGTGTGACAACACACCGACACATTGGATAACTGTGTAGCGACTAATGTTTGTCTGAAGTTGACACGATTCTTCTTCACTTTAGCTCGAGAGCAACATATCATCCAGCTTACACAGAAGCTGATTACCAGTATAACCACAGGAGACTTCGAAACATACAGGTATTTTTGACATGCATTTTCGATATTCACAGTTAACAATTGAGTCATGCCTTTAGCGGGAAGTTTGGAGAGCACAAAAGAAACGTATGAGGTGCTCGAGGGCCTGCTCGAGGCACAGCCGAGTGAAACTCTAAGGCGCTTTCCATTCGGCCAATAACTCGGATAGTTTCGAAACGAAGGCAAATAGTGCGGAAATTTCCTTTGGTATCTGGAAAATCCGAAATAGGCGAATTTCCGAAATGCGAACTATATCAACCAGGAATTTCGGAAATTCGGGGAGAATAAACTATGCATGTGTTGAATTTTCGAAAATCTGGGTATACCACGTGAGCTTGTCCGGCCTGTTTTCAATAATTTCGGAAAATGCTGTTCTATTCCCCGCGGGAAAATTCCAAAACTTCAAACCGGAAAACTTGCTGAACTTGAGTGTTTTACAACCTTCTGAAATGCATCAATTCGACGATGCACAGCTTGAGGCGTGAATCAATTGTCAGTCATTGCCAAGGGAAATACTTAATTTTGCTGACGCCATGAAGGTGCTTTATTGAATTATATGCACGCTTGAGTATACCAAGTATGATAGCGCGGCTCTTGCATTGCGTCTCCCAATATAAATTTGTACATGAGAAATATGAGCCTTACATTTTGTTCCAACGTTATTTAAGAGCGGTTCTACCGACACCAAAATAACGACGACCTGCCCGGTAATCTGAGTCGCAAACCTGTATAAGAAATCGGTTGCTTAGAGTTGTTTAATTGTCATAATATAATTTAACGTTCTTTTTTTTTAGTGGGTGAAGGTGAAGTCTATTCTCATTGGTTCTACGAAGTTAATTGAGCACTGATTTATGTCGTTTATGTCACTACGTCGCTACTGTGAATCAGGTCTTTATTAGACACAAACCCAAGGCATCGTCAGTCAAACTCATAAACTGCGGTTCTTTTTCCTGTTGCAGCAAATTAGCTGACCCTCATATAACAGCATTTGAACCAGAAGCTCGAGGTCACCTGGTTGAAGGTCTAGAGTTCCACAAATTCTATTTTGAGAATGGTAAGTGAGGAAAGCGGCGCTATTTTGTGTTGTCGCTTTTTATAATCTTTTAAAGACGCCCTGTAATAAGACGTGCGCTAAAAGCTAGTCTTGTGTTGAGCAAAATAGAAGATGGTGTTCCATGCATGTTCTCTTTGACAATTAGACTACGACCCGAGTTTATTAGCAAATAGTCAACTACGCATAGCCGAGTTGACTTCTAGCAATCGAGAGCGAATATTCTAATTATTTTAGTATAAATCTATTAGTCTTCTAATCCTCTTCGCAGACACCTCCAAAATGCGAAGCGGCCGCCATTTTGTTAAAATCCGCACACTGCTAGGCTACTCACTCTCTACAACAGATAGTAGTTAGTGCAGCCAATAAGAAAACGGCATTCACGATAGAACGCTAGTAGATTTACACTAAAACTTGCTGCAAACGCGGAAAATGTTTTCTATTTCTTAATGATTCCCATCTATAACAAAATTCTCGATCGTGATTGGTTCTCCGCGCGCCTATTTGTCACGTAATCGGCGCGCGATCACATGGTTGTCCAATTACAGGTATCCAATTACAACTTGTAATTGGTTACCTGTAATTGGACATCTTCGCGATTTGCACGTCAGTTACGCGCGCTTTAATGGCTTCCTTCTTATTATACCCTACGGTGTTTGATACTTATGGAAAGCGCTAGTCACTCTTTCGCTCAAAAGAAGTGCTCAAAACGAATTTCGAAATTTGTTAAATATACGATTAATTAGTAATTGGACCGAGTGGAGTACAATGCCGGGAGAAATCGTGCTCCCAATTGCAAATAGGCCTCACGCTGTGCGCTCGTCCAATTTTGAAATCACTCGACCAATTATTCCCTGAATTCTAATAGGAAGGGTACCGTCTTTAGTCAAATTACGTAAGAGAGGTTTCTGATGAGTAACGTATATCAAAAAACAAATTAAGTTATCATAAACAATCGCAGCTTACACAAACAATGCAATGAACATACATACTAGGTCTGCTCACAACGTCAAAGCCTGGCTTCACACAATGCTTCAGTGCTTTTTGTTTCTTTGCAGTTCTTAGCAAACGGACAACTCCAATCAATACGACTATATTGTCGCCACATGTTCACATGCTTGGAGAAGAAGCTGCTTGCATCTGCTATGTCCGACTTCAACAGTACATCAACAGGTAATGTAAACCATAAACGAAAATATTTGATGGATTTTAAGTCTTGTTAGTTATTTTTCGCTTTGCTTTGTAGTGCTGGTGCTGCCTTGACAAGTCAATCAGAGGAAACACGTGTCTGGCACAAAAAGTCTGGACACTGGGTCAACGTACATTTTCACCGATCAGGAGGCAGTACGATCAGTTAAGAATGCGTCACTCCCAGTAGGCGCTGACGTCACTTCATTTGGCAAAGACTACTTTTCATGAGAATAGCCTGGAACGAGGACGGAATGGCACGTGACTATGTGGAGAGCGAAATACATGACGGTTACTGGAAATGAACCTCATTCACACAAGGAAATATTGTTTATCACAGGAAATATTGTTTAATTATTGATAACGGGTCAAGATGTGTAGGTCCTGAGTGTTATTGCAACAAATATTGCAAGGAAATATTCGTGTCTTGGTGATGCGAGAATGTGAATTGAATTCAAGGCTGTAAATATTTCGTTAACAATATAGTTGTTTTTAATTCTGATGTATAGTCGCCATTTTCTTACCAAAGGACATCAAAAAGGAAAAACAACGGGGCGGAATCCTCCCCTATGGAGGATATTTATTAATTTATTTTCAATGCACATGTTATTGTCAGTAGCTCGTTGTAGGTAATTTTGAAATTTGCTACATGTGTAATATTGTAACGCTTTACTCCTAAGAGGTATTGATGGTATGGGTCACGATGCAACAAATTCTAGTATTATTTTTAATCTAATTTTATCACTAGGAAATAGGAATTTCTTTTAATTTTTGAATTTCTTCCCGGGGGGGGGGTGTAGCAAGATTGAGGAAACAATTTGTAAATTATGCTAGCTTGTGAATGACTTGAGTTCATCAAAGTTATTGATAATAGAGTGGTTTTCATTTGAGAGTCGAAAAGTAATTGGTTTTGCACTTTCTACGCCTCACAATTGGCTTAAAAACTCGCGCCACTTTTTGATCCAATCAGAAGTACAACCAAAACCAATTGTAACGCGTTCGCATGTATTTTCCCGCACTTTGCGTCAGCTACCTGTAATTACTTCGAGCTTTGATTGGTTCATTGTATTGTCTGTGTCCTCTGTGATTGGCTAGAGTAATTACTTTGGTTTTGGTTTTACCACACTCAATTGAAAACCACTCTACTAGCGGTTTTAGTGTTTTTAGTGTGTTTTTACAACTCTCTAGTAGGTAATGGTGGATGTAATAGCACGAGTAGCATTAGCTAGGAGGTAAAAAAAAATAAACAGTTCCGAGGAAGTAATCACTTCTGAGAAAGGTTTGGAAGCCAGGTGATCAAATTTGTTACTCATGGAACAAAGGTTTTTAAGGGTATTATACTGCATGTTACTGAGAATTCGAACGCGATCTTTGCAAATGTAATTAACGATTGGATGGTTTAAACTATCAGGCGCCGTCCACACTACGCCGGAGGAATTTGAAAACGGAGGTTTCACTCTGAAAACGCATCAAATGTTTTCCGTCCACACTTCGCCAGAAGAATTTAAAAACGCATCAATCGGCGGTCATTTTGGATTTGGATTTGATGAAAATTCGCTCAGAGAAATCACATGATTATCGTGACCTCATTGTTTTCGAAAAGCTCCGTTTTCAAAGTGTTTTTCGTCCACACGAAAACGAAATGTCCGCGTTTTCAATTTCCTTCGGTTTGTCGATCGTTTTCGAAAAGCTCCGTTTTCAAAATGTTTTTCGTCCACGCGTAAACGAAATGCCCGCGTTTTCAATTTCCTTCGGTTTGTAGATCGTTTTCGAAAAACTCCGTTTTCGTGACGGATTCGTGTGGACGGTAGGCCTAACCGGAGAAAGAAAGCTGTGTTTTCACATTTCTCCGGAGTATTGTGGATGGGGACTTGGTGATCTTCGTTAATCCAGTGCGCGTGAACAGTGAATGCTACGCACGTGTCTCTACTGTGGCATTGCCATGGTGACGGAGAAATAGATGTATCACCAGAGCAATAGACACAAGCTTAGGTTGAATTTGTTTTTCTAGAGCAATGGAGACCGCTTTTTTCAAGGAAACATTTCGTGCCCAAGGCCAAATTCTTCTAACTTTTAATGTAGTAGCGGAAACCTATGAAAGGAATTGAACATTGCTGGGTAATGTAGGTAAAGGCTGGTTTTGTCTTCTGCTTTTACTGACAAGAATAGTAAGCGGTCGAGGGTGCTAGTAACAAATAGTACAGACTGTAAGATAAACATTTCTTTGCTCAAAAGTGAATAAACATGGCCGTGGATTTGCTTGTGTTTCAATATGTAAGATAAGTGGTAAACTTGTGGCCGTTATTCGCTGATCGAAATGACTGGATAGTCACCAAGCTCTTGTTTTGCGGGTACGAGGCGGGACGCAGTCGAGATCCAGTGACACGTAAAAAAAAAAAGTTAGTCTAGTATTCAGTGTTCTTGGTCAGTAAAACATTTACTTGAATTTCTTGCGGTGCATAACGAGAAATCCCGCTTAAGCTAAACTGCCCTGAAGCTAAACTGACTTCTTTTCAGTCACAAAAAGTCAGAACTGCCTATATTTGTTTTGTTAATTCATTTTCTCAACAAATATTCACAGTTGAATGGAAAACTATACACCGTTTGAAAAGCTATGAAATAGGCTTTCATAAAATTATATTTTCGTCTAAAACAGGCGGTAATATTTTATATTTCATGAAGTGATAGTTGATGAGGCCGAAGGCCGAATCAACTATCACCTCATAGAAATCTAGAGCGATTAATCTAGTTGTTAAATAGACACGATTTTCAACCAATCAGCGCGGGCTGTTTTCTAATTGTTAAATAGAAAAACAAACATTATGCCGATAACCGAAATCATAATGTCATTTTATCGCCAGGCATTTCCTGTGTCTTATCAGTTTGCGGGTTGTGCTCCAATCTGGCAACAATGGAAGTCTCCTGTCCAATGAAAAAGGGGCGCGTGTCAAAGTTAAGTACAAAAGGTTGGTTATTTCTTGTTCTTTTTCCCTCCACCTCCCCGGTCACCGACCCGTAGACTGGTGGCGAAGTTTTAACCAAAACTCGTCACATTTGTGGCCATTTATTCCAAACGATTTGTTTCTATTGTCGTCTACCTACCTCTTCAGCAAACTAGTGCGACGCCTTGCGGAGCTCTCGATGTCTTAGTGCTTGCAAATGACTCAAGACAAAATACTATTTTCAACCAATCGGCGCGCGTATTTTCTTTGGGCTATTTTCTAATGTGCTATAAAATATAAAATATTACCGAATAATTCAATTTCTTAGTGGTAAAATTGGGAGCTTTTTTAATTCAAGAAACCGTAAATCTCCTCCTTTTAGTCTTCTTAGGAATTTGATTATCCATTTCTTACTAAATGTTCTTTCAAAACTTCGGAGAAATGAGGAAACGTTGCAATTTTGTCGACCACACCAAGCCAATGCACACTTACGGCTGATAGTGTGCAATGACTCAGCCATATCAGATTACAGCATTTGCATTCTACTAATAAACAATTAGATTATGAGCTCGCGATTCGCGTGATAGTTACGAGGGCGCAGCCCGAGTCAACTATAATCTAATTGTTTTAGTATAAATCTACTAGTCGTTCTAAGTCCTCTTCACAGACACTTCGAAAACGCCAAAAAGCTGCGGTCATTTTGTTAACAAGGGCACACTGCCACGCTACTCTCTATCTATCACAGATTATAGTTCACCACTAAATTTTCTTCGATTCTTATTGGTTTAAACTGATCACGTGACGCGATAGTGTTCGTCCG